CGCCTCTATCTCTCTCCCTAGGGTACTGGGGAAGTGATCACTGTTAACAGTTTGCTGGGTCTTCTGGATTTTTTTTTTCTGTGTGCAAGTAAACCTGTTAGGTTAAACTGGGTGGAATTTCTGACGTTTTATCATTTTGACCTAATAAAGTAGCAGTTTCATATGATTCAAACCAATCTTTGCACACACATTTATTTTACAAACATTTCATTCTTTTTTCTTTTTCTTTTTAAATATTTATTTATTTGAAAGTCAGAGTTACTCAGAGAGAGGAGAGGCAGAAAGAGAGAGAGAGAGGTCTTCCATCTGCTGGGTCACTCCCCAGTTGGCCGCAACAGCTGGAGCTGAGCCCATCTGAAGCCAGGAGCCAGGAGCTTCCTCTGGGTCTCCCACGTGGGTGTAGGGGCCCAAGGACTTGGGCCATCTTCTACTGCTTTCCCAGGCCATAACAGAGAGCTGGATCATAAGTGGAGCAGCCGGAACTTGAACCAGCACCCATATGGGATGCCAGCACTGCAGGGGGCGGCTTTACCCACTATACCACAGTGCCGGTCCCCGGTCCCCAAACATTTCATTCTACAGCTTGCTTTTTTCACATGCTGGTATAGCATACTTACCTTTCCATGTCTGCTCATACAAATATAATAATAAAGGTAGCTCACATCTTTGATTGCAATCAATGTGCTGGGACCAGGCACACTGTGCTAATAAGCTCTTCGCTTAACACAATTCTTTGGAGCAGGCCCCATCATTATCCTTGCAGACAAGAAGATTAAGGTCTTGGGGAATTACTTCTTTTAGAAGATTTATTTATTTTATTTGAAAGAGTTACGGAGAGAGTGGGAGAGACAGAGAGATTGATCTTCCATCTATTGGCTTACTACCCCAAATGGCAGCGATGGCCAAGATTGGGCCAGGCTGAAACCAAGAGCCAGGAACTTCATCTAGGTCTCCTATGTGGGTGCAGGGGCCCAAGCTCTTGGACCATCTTCTGCTGCCTTCTCAGGTGCATTGGCAGGGAGCTGGATCAGAAGTGGAGCATCCAGAACTCAAACCAGCGCTCATATGGGATTCTGGTATGGCAGGCCGCAGCTTAATCCACTGCGCCACAACACCGGCCCTGGTCTTGGAGAATCAAATCATTTGATGGCCGGCGCTGCAGCTCACTAGGCTAATCCTCCGCCTTGCGGCGCCGGCACACCGGGTTCTAGTCCCGGTCGGAGCGCCGGATTCTGTCCCGGTTGCCCCTCTTCCAGGCCAGCTCTCTGCTGTGGCCAGGGAGTGCAGTGGAGGATGGCCCAAGTGCTTGGGCCCTGCACCCCATGGGAGACCAGGAGAAGTACCTGGCTCCTGCCACCGGATCAGCGCGGTGTGCCGGCCGCAGCACGCTGGCCGCGGCAGCCATTGGAGGGTGAACCAACGGCAAAGGAAGACCTTTCTCTCTGTCTCTCTCTCTCTCACTGTCCACTCTGCCTGTCAAAAAAAAAAAAAAAATCATTTGATGAGCACACAAGTGGCAGAAGTAAAACCTTTCCAACCACACCTATCGTGGTGTGCCTACCCCCTGTTGATGGAACATCAGGTTCTCTGCAATTCTTTTCTATTTTTTAATGATGCATTTTATTTATCTGAAAAGCAGAGTGACAGAGAGGGGGAAAAATAGAGAGAGATCTTCCATCCTTTGGTTCACTCCTCAAATGACTGCAACAGCCAGAGTTGGACCAAGTCAAAGCCAGGAGCATGAAACTCCACCCAGATCCCCTACATGAGTGGGGGTACTAAGTACCTGGGCCATCCTCCGCTGTTTTCCTAGGAACGTTAGCAAGGAGCTGGAGCAGAAGCAGAGCAGCTGAGGCTGGATCCAGCACTCTGTAAGCGGCAGTTTAACTTGCTGCATTCCAACACGGTCCTTCTAGCTCTTACTACGAGCAATACTTCCATGAACATTCTTGTATGTGTAACTGTTCCCTTTAGCGTCTGTAGGTCCAGTGATTAGAAGTGCTACAGCAAAGGTCGTGCCCAGTTTTAAGTCTGATAGGTACCCACGCTCCAGAAACACCCCCAATTCACAGCATGCCGGTAAGGCAACAGAGCCCCCGGTTCTCCACGACCTCCTCAGCGCTTGATGTTTTCTGTCTTCTGCATCTGGGGCGATCTGCTGGCTAAAAACAGCACTTTCCATCCAGGGAAGGAACCAACGTCTGCTCCGTGCAGACCTGAGTCCAGCACGTCATACGTGTCGCCTCACACCATCCTCACAGCCCCTCCCCGTGGCAGGTGGGAGCCCATTATATTGACAACAAAACTGAAGGTCGGAAAGGTGAAGGGGTTTTTCCCAGACTCTGCAACGAGGCAGCCAAGGTCCCTGGCCTTCAAGTTCCCTCCTCTCAAGGGGATGTGGCTATTTGGTGGGGCCTGTGCAGGAAGTTTCCTCAAAGAAGGGCTTTCAGGGGGCAGTCCTGTGGTGTACTGGGTAAAGCCACCGCCTGCAGTGCCAGTATCCCATATGGGCGCTGGTTTGAGTTCTGGATGCTCCACTTCTGATCCAGCTCCCTGCTAATGCACCTGGGAAAGCAGCAGAAGATGGACCAAGTGTTTGGGTCCCTGCACCCACGTGGAAGACCTGGAAGGAGCTCCTGGCTCAGCCTGGCCCAGCCCCTTTTGTGATCTTTTGGGGAGTGAACCAGCAGATGGAAGATCTCTCTCTCTCTCTCTCTCTCTCTCTCTCTCTGCCTCTCTCTGTATAACTTTGCCTTTCAAATAAATGCATAAATAAATCTTAAAAAAAAAAAAAAAGAAAAGAAGGAGGGCAAGAGAGGTGGTTTACGAGGCTAACGGAAAGATAAGGGCATGGGCAATTTGAAGAGGCCAAGAGATGGCAGATGGGACTATGTAGCACTCTTGCACTAACAGCTGTCACTGCAGCAGTGGCCACTGGGTATTATTCTCTTGAGTCAGGCTGGATTGTAAGTGCTAGGCATTGAGTCAGTGGCGTCCCTTGGAGTAGGGGATTGGTATCCTATGACCACGGGGGTATTAGTCAGGACTTTTCTGGATGTAAGTGATAAAAGCCAGACTCAGTTGGCTTAAGGGAAAGGGTAGTTATTGACTCACATAGCCAGACTGAGGGATGGCTGCCAGAGGGAAGTGAGAGAACGAGACTGTAGCCCCAACACTGTGCTCCCCGCCTCCCCGTTTTGCCAAGAATGTGGTTCCCTGGAGAACACTGGAGAGAAGCCTCAATTCTTCTCCTCCTCCTCTTGGCACCCATACTCCATCTGAGACAGTGCCTGCTGAGCTGCTGGTGGTGGAAGAAGCTCTTTCGTACAGCATGGAGTGATTGGATGCGGGGTGCAGAAGAGAGCGGAGGTGCTGTGGGGATGTGCAGACCAACAGAGGCCTTGTCTCAGCCTCAGGGTCCACACTCTAACTGGGAGCCAGACTCACCTCCTTCCAACTTCAGCTCTGCCATTTACTCTTAGATCCTCCAAGCCTCCTTATCTTCAACTGAAAAACAGAAATAATAATACCTGTGCAACAAGGTCAGGAGACTAGAAGGAGGCTGGGAAAAGCCTCTCGTACAGTGGCTGGTGCATGCTAAGTGTGCAATGGTGACTGTTTCTAATCATTCACACCGACTATGCTAACAGCTCTTACAGAATTACCCCAAGGCCATTGGATACATGAATTTTTTTTTTATCACGTCTTGAAAACTTCAACTCCTCTGTTCTAATATCATGCATTTGTTCAATGAACCACATTTCCCTGCACACTGTCACAACCACGATGCCCTCTCAGCCGTGGCCCCCACTTCTCTTGGCCTTCTCTCACCCCTCCTAGCTCCCTTCAGTCTTCGGAGGGGTCCTTCCAGGACACACACGGCTGGATGCTAGGCACACTGCAGTCTGCACGCTGAGTCTGATGGAAACGGACAGATTCGGGACTTCTGCCCTGGGGTGGCAACCACCTCCCTGCAAGCTCTTAGGCTTTGGAATCTGACAGGGCTGGATTTGAATTCCAAGCTCTTGTCTTCTTTTCTTTTCTTCCTTTTCTTCTTCTCTTCTCTTCTCTTCTCTTCTCTTCTCTTCTCTTCTCTTCTCTTCTCTTCTCTTCTCTTCTTCCTTCTTCTTCTTCTTCTTTTTTTTTTTTTTAATATTTATTGGGACTAGCATTGTGGCATATAGGGTTGAGCAGTTGCCTGTGACACTAGCATCCCATATGGGCACCAGTTCGGGTTCCAGCTGCTCCACTTCCAATCCATCTCCCTGCTGATGTGTCTGGGAAAGCAGCAGAAGATGGCTCAATTTAAAAGGCAGAGAGAGAGAGAGAGGCAGGCAGGAAGGCAAGAATCTTTCATCCACTGGTTCATGTCCCAGATGGCAGCAACAGTCAGCGGTGGGTCAGGCCAAAGTCAGGAGCATGGAGCTCCATTCGGGCGGCAGGAGCCCAAGCACTCAGGCCATCTTCTGTTGCTTTGACAGACACCTTAGCAGGGAGCTGGATCCCTGAAGTGGAGCAGGTGGAACCTGAACTGGAGCCCATAAGGGATGCCAGTGGCACAGGTGGTGGTTTAGCCTGCTGCACCACAACACAGTCCTGGAAACCCAAGCTCTTGCTCACTGTGGATCCTTGGGCGAGTTACTGAGCCCCCTGGGCCTCCGTGTCCTTGTCTGTAGACCTAATGGGGTGGTTGAGATTATGGCTGCCTGGGTTGGAATCCTTGCTCTGCCAGCTGCAACCTCGGATGAGGAATATTTCGGGGCCTCTGGTGGTCTATCCTCTGCAAATGGGATATGAGTAGTTGTTATGGTGGCCAAGTGAATAACACATTAAGAACTTTTCTCTGGGCTTGGCGCATGGTAAGTGTATGAGTTTTACATATCACTGAACAGTGGGTGCAGAGACCTCAGCCAGGATGGGGGTGGGGACAGGCAGGGATGTGGGAGTGCTGGCCTGGTTTTGGTTGGGGTATAGGAAGGCCCACTGCCACTGTGTCTCAGGTGCTGTCCCACAACCTGTACACGGTCCTGCACATCCCCCATGACCCCGTGGCCCTGGAGGAGCACTTCCGAGATGACGACGATGGCCCCGTGTCCAGCCAGGGCTATATGCCCTACCTCAACAAGTACATCCTGGACAAGGTGCGGCCCAGCTTGTGGGACACCTCTAGCCTCTCGATGCTTCCTTAGCCCGGCCAGCGTCCCAATACCTTGCCACTGCAACGTTTTCTCAGATAGGCTTGCTCTTCTGCCCTCTCTGTCCATCCCTGCTCTCCCATCCTGTCCTTACATCCCAGCCCCCCTCCTTGTCCCTTTAATGTCCTTCATCTGTGTTCTGGCCTCCAGACTGTGTCCCAGCTCATGACCTCTCCAAGGGACCCTCCACCCCCCCCCCGCCCCCTCCCAGCAGTCCTCCTGTCACCTTCTTCCCAGGTTCTCCTTGGCTGTTCATGCCCCCTGGGTTTCCCCCGCTTTCTCCCCTGTGCTGAGGGACTGGAATTCCTCTGTCATCAGGGGATTTGGGTGGGATTTGGATATGGGGGGTGGGGGATGGAGCCTGCTGCTTACCTGCTATTCAAGTCCAGGGTGGAGCCTGGTGGGCTGAGCTGGAACCTAGCTTGGTGACAGAGCAGGGATGGGGCAGCTGGCTCACCTGCAGGTCTGGTGGCAGGTGGAGGAGGGGGCTTTTGTTAAAGAGCACTTTGATGAGCTGTGCTGGACCCTGACGGCGAAGAAGAACTACCGAGCGGACAGCAACGGGAACAGCATGCTCTCCAATCAGGACGCTTTCCGTCTCTGGTGCCTCTTCAACTTCCTGTCTGAGGACAAGTACCCGCTGATCATGGTTCCTGATGAGGTGAGGGTGATGGTCGGGGGACTGAGTCACTACAGGTCAGGCCTCAGAGAAACCATGAAGAAGGCCAAATCGTTCCTGCACTTTCCCACATCCTGATTCTTTCTCTCCCCGTGCACCACACCCAGCTGTCTCCATGTATCTAGAACTGCCCACCTAGAACTGTCAGAGCAACAGTGCCTTCTTCCAGGAGAGCCAAAAGCACACTTCCATCAGGGTTCTGCTAGCCTGCACCTAGCAAAATCATCGGAAAGTTTTATTTACACAGAGACCTAAATGCCCAACATTTTAAAACGAGAGTGTTTTAAAATGAGATACGGAAGATCAAATAGTGCAGTTGTGGTGGTGGGACCACATAGGTGGGGTGCTTTGTGAGGGAAGAAGACCTTCCTGAAACAGGAGTAACTGCCCGATGACTCCTGGGGAGCACCCGAGACTGGCCCTGGCTCCCGGCTTCCCCTCGGCCTTTCTCCAACAGAGCCAAGGAGACTCATCTCAGGGTGAGAGATGGCACCCGGGGAGAAGGGGCCAGGAGTCTGGCCCCAGGCAGAGCCAGGACAGCCGTTCTCAGCACCGACCCCCCTGCCCATTTGATCTGCTCCCAACCCTTAGTCTTCGTGGCAGCTGTGCAGGTGCCAGACTGAATTCAGGTCTTCAGCGTAGGTGTCCATGGGAGGGGCCTCAGGGTTGCCAAGCGGGCCTGCGATGTCTAACTGCACTCAGATTTGTATCTTTGCATCTGATTGTGGGAGGGGTGAGCGCCCCTCACAGCCGCTCAGAGACCTGGCACGCTCCACTAAACACCGCGCCAAGACCCAGTAGCATTCTAAAGAGTTCCCCAAGAAGCCGCTGGGGCTGAAGAGAGCTGGCTGCCCTTTTCAGATCCCTGCCAGTCAGGGTTAGGTGGCCTTTCAAAGGCCACGGGGCTACTTGCTGTTGTCATCAACACGCGGTGAGAACAGACTGCAGCAGGATGTACCCCAACCACCACTTCCTGTTCCTCTGTAACAGGTTTCCTGTCCCTGCTTTGCTTACCCCAACCCCCAACCCCCTTGCCCCCTCACAAGGGAAGGATCCCCAGGGTCAGGGACTGGGGCTTGGAAGAAGGACCTAAACAGGATTTGGAAGATCCAAGTGGGACTCACTGCCCCCAACTTGCTATATGCTATAGAGCAAGTCTCTTCCTGCCGTGGGGCCTTGGTCTTGTCATGTGCCGGTTGAGGGTATCGGCTAGAAGGCCCTTTGTGCACCCCTGACATTGTCTATGATTTGCTGCCTCTGCCTGGCCCCAGCTCCAAGCTGCCACTTTCACCCCATGTTTAGTTTAAGGCAGGAAGGAGGAGACTAAGGGTTAGGGAGGGGGAAGAGAATACCTAAGTTGGGGTTGGGGGGCCTGGATTCCCTCCCAAATCTGTAAGCCTGGTCTCCACCAGCAGTTGGTCCTCTGTCCCCCACTGCCACCCCACTGTCCCGGCTCCCTCTGCCCAGACTCTGGAAGCCAGGTGGGAGTACCCCCCACCTTGTCGGCGGTGCTGTCCACACTGCCTGCTGCAGTCCCCAGGCCTTCCTCCTCCCGCCCTTCCAGGTGGAGTACCTGCTGAAGAAGGTGCTGAGCAGCATGAGCCTGGAGGTGGGCCTGGGGGAGCTGGAGGAGCTGCTGGCCCAGGAGGCCCAGGCGGCCCAGACCTCCGGGGGCCTCAGCGTCTGGCAGTTCCTGGAGCTCTTCAACTCGGGCCGCTGCCTGCGGGGCGTGGGGCGGGACACGCTCAGCATGGCCATCCACGAGGTCTACCAGGAGCTCATCCAAGACGTCCTGAAGCAGGTCTGGGGACGCAGCGGGGACCCCGGGGAGGGCCAGACGGCATGGAAAGCAGGGCCGGTGGAGCCCCTGACTTTACTCTGGCCGGCAGGGCTACCTGTGGAAGCGCGGGCACCTGAGGAGGAATTGGGCCGAGCGCTGGTTCCAGCTGCAGCCCAGCTGCCTCTGCTACTTCGGGAGTGAAGAGTGCAAGGAGAAGAGGGGCACCATCCCACTGGATGCCCACTGCTGCGTGGAGGTGAGGGGCAGGGGAAGGCCCCAGGTGGCCGGGACCAGGGTGAAGGGGGAAAAGCCTAATTTCTGCCCAGACACAGCTGAGCACCCCGAGGCCATTCTCCTCCATGCCAGGCAATGTAAAAAGACCTAAAAGCGCAAATCAAATGTCAAAGTCACTGGTGAATAATGTGGATGTTGTTGAAGATGGAGATCTTTGCTAAAGAGGAGATGGCATGTCTACACTGCACATCAAATCCTTTTTAAAGATCTTTCTCCTTTATCCCTATCTCCTCCCAAGCCGCTCTCCTCTGCCTCCCCCCACCTCGGCCCTTGTTCATTATTGTTTTAGAGGTGTAAAACAACTATATTTTAAATAGCATCTATCTATCTATATATATGTATATATATATGGAAAATTTGCCATTTTAACTGTGCAATTCCAAGGTAATAAGTACAATCACAGTATTGTGCAGCCATCCCCACTGCCTATTTGCAAATTGTGTATCATCCCAAACAGAAACTCTGCACCCGTTAAGCAATAACTCCTCATTTCCCCTGCCCCCAGCCCCTGGTAACCTCTATTCTATACTCTGTCTCTACAAATTTGCCTGTGAGTTCTGGGTACTTTACACGAGTCGAAGCAAACAACAGTTATCCTTTTGTGTCTGGCTTCTTTCAGTTAGCATAATGTTTTCAAGCTTCATCGATGTTGTAGAATGTGCCAGAATTTCATTCCTTTTTAGGACTGAGTAGCATTCCATTGTGTGGAGCTATAGTTATCCATTTATCTGTTGACGGACATCTGGGCTTGCTATTGTGAGTCATGCGGCTTTGAGCATCCCTGTGCACGTTGCTGTGCGGCCGCATTTTTCTTTCTCTGGAGCACACACACACGCACACATCCAGGCGTGGAATCCCTGGCTCCCATGGGGGAACTGCCAAACTTTGCCTAAGCAGCTGCACCCTATTGCATCCTCCCCAGCAGATTCTGGGGATCCCAATTTCTCCATAGCCTGGCCGACACTCATTATTTTACAAGCTAAACATTGTTATAACCCTGGAAGGCTTGCCCATTTTTGTTACCTAAGGAACCAGGTGGTGCTGTTGGAAAGAGCACGGGTGTAGGCAGAAATCCCAGCGTCACCACTAACAGGCAGTGTGTGAGTTGGACAATGTGTATGGGATGAGTGAAGAAAATAATGCATTTAAAACACTAGCACAGGCTGGCGCCGCGGCTCAATAGGCTAATCCTCCACCGGCACACCCAGTTCTAGTCCCTGTCGGGGCACCGGATTCTGTCCCAGTTGCCCCTCTTCCAGGCCAGCTCTCTGCTGTGGCCAGGGAGTGCAGTGGAGGATGGCCCAGGTGCTTGGGCCCTGCACCCCATGGGGGACCAGGGGAGGCACCTGGCTCCTGGTTTCGGATTGGCGGGGTGCGCTGGCCGCGGCAGCCATTGGAGAGTGAACCAACGGCAAAAGGAAGACCTTTCTCTCTGTCTCTCTCACTGTCCACTCTGCCTGTCAAAAAAATAAAAAAACAATAAAATACAAAACAAACACAAACAAAAAAAACCACTAGCACAGATTCCAGATTCTAGGACTTAAGCTCAATGCGTGGTAACTATTATGAAGGATCTTCAAAAAGTCTGTGAAAAATGGAATTCAAAGGCAAGTTTATTTTGGTGCGGAAAAAATGTAATTATGCACATTTCCATGAACTTGTTGAAGATTCCCTCCTCTGAGTATCTTCCCCTGGAACGTCAGCTTGGATGAGGCAGCTATTTGGTCGTTATGCCCACCTCCCTATCCCTAACCCCTAGAACAGTGTGTGCCATTCAATAGATGTTCCAGAAATATCCGTGGGAAGAATGCACTTTCTCAAGCAGAGCTGTATGCAGACGAGTGGCTGCCGATAGCAAGACTGCAGAACTGGGGCACACAAGTACCCCAATAACTAACTGTTCCCTGCTGGGGCATGCAGCCTCCTGCAGAGCCAGGGCGGGCAGCGGCTGGGGCTGGGGGCACCCCGGGGCACTCAGTGAGGCCAGCCTGCCCTCGCCCAGGTGCTGGCCGACCGCGATGGGAAGCGCTGCATGTTCTGCGTCAAGACGGCCACCCGCACGTACGAGATGAGCGCTTCGGACACACGCCAGCGCCAGGAATGGACGGCCGGTGAGTGCTCGCAAGGTAGCCAGGACCCCGCGAACTCCCGAGGCCCCTTGTCGGGGCCGCGCCGCAGCTGATGCCCTCCCGCTGCCCCTGCAGCCATCCAGACGGCCATCCGGCTGCAGGCCGAGGGAAAGACGTCGTTGCACAAGGACCTGAAGCAGAAGCGGCGGGAGCAGCGGGAGCAGCGGGAGCGGCGCCGGGCCGCCAAGGAGGAGGAACTGCTGCGGCTGCAGCAGCTGCAGGAGGAGAAGGAGCGTAAGCTGCAGGAGCTGGAGCTGCTGCAGGAGGCGCAGCGGCAGGCGGAGCGGCTGCTGCAGGAGGAGGAAGAGCGGCGCCGCAGCCAGCACCGGGAGCTGCAGCGGGCGCTGGAAGGGCAGCTGCGCGAGGCGGAGCAGGTGGGGCGGCTCCCGGCGCGGGGGGCGGGGTCCGGGGCGGAGCCTGGGGCTGAGGAGGGGCTGGGGGAGGTGGCGGGGGAGGGGACTTGGGTGGGACGGGGCCCTAACTGACGGATGGGTGGAACCGCAGCTTGCAGAGTGGGGTCTGTAGAGACCTTGGCTGGGGGGCAGGTTGGGGTGGGGGGTGCGGGCTTGGACCGAACGAGGGGGCGATGACCGTGCGACTGGGGCTTAGTTTGGCCCAAAGTTGGGCTAAACTTGTACTGCGTTTACGGTGAAACCAGTTTGGGGGCCGCAGGGCGGGAGGTAGGCAGGACGCACGGGGAGGAGGCATGCCGTCCGACTTGCTGTTTGGGAGACCTGGATCTAGAGTTGGACACGTGGGTTCTGTCTCTCAGGAGCTCCGTGACCTCCGGCAATGTCTTAGGCTCTCTTTTATTTACCGATTGGTGGAATGTTGATGCTAATACAACTTTGCTCATAGAGGCAGGGTGAGGATTAAATGAGGAAACACTTGTAAAGTGTTCAATAACTTTTAGTTGTAATAACTACAATTACAGTCACCTTCTCAGCACCAGCCATAATTATATATGGATAATTATTATTATTAAGATTGGTGCTAGGAAGGAGGTACCTATATTTAGTATATTATTATAATAATCAGCTATCATGCATTTTAGTGTTATTAAAGCTGGTGCTAAGAAGGTCATAAAGTGAGCCCCTTTCCCCCACGTGGCATCTATTCATTGACATTATCTGACCCGGGAAGCTCTCAGAGAGGGGCCACATAAAACAATTCCCCGGGCTCTCACCCCCAGCTAGCCTGGCGGGGCCAGCCTGGCAGTGCCCTGGTGGGGCAGGTACCCACCTGCCGCCCTCCCAAGCCTGCCCGGTTGACCAGGCTCTGCATTCACGCTGTAGGCCCGGGCCTCCATGCAGGCTGAGATGGAGCTGAAGAAGGAGGAGGCCGCCCGTCAGAGGCAGCGCATCAAAGAGCTGGAGGAGATGCAGCAGCGGCTGCAGGAGGCCCTGCAACTGGAGGTGAAAGCCCGGCGGGATGAGGAGGCTGTGCGCCTCGCCCAGACCAGGTAGGCCCGAGGGACCGACCCCCTCCTGGTTCTCCTGGTTCTCCCACCCACTCCCCTTCCCCGTCTCGGAACTGGAGACAACCCGGTGCACGCCCGCCCGGCAGGCTCCTGGAGGAGGAGGAGGAGAAGCTGAAGCAGCTGATGCAGCTGAAGGAGGAGCAAGAGCGCTACATCGAGCGCGCGCAGCAGGAGAAGCAGGAGCTGCAGCAGGAGATGGCGCTGCAGAGCCGCTCCCTGCAGCAGGCGCAGCAGCAGCTGGAGGAGGTGCGGCTGCACCGGCAGAGGGCTGACGAGGACGTGGAGGTGAGCCTGGGCGGGAGAGGCCGGAGCCCGCCGAGCCCCCGTGCCCTCAAATCCTGCCTCCAGCATCGGCCGGCTGGAGCACCCCAGGCGAATTGTCTAACCTCCCTGGGTTTCAAGTCTCTCATTTGGTATCGACATGCTAATCAGGGTTAAACAAGATAACACGTGCTATTCACTACATACTTAGTGCTGCTGCTGTTTCTGAACATTGTTATTAATCTGGGCGAACTTTTTTTTTTTTAACCTGCTACTCTTCCAAGCCTCTATTCTGCTATCTCTGCACTTGGAGCCCGAATCGCCATAAAACAGGAGTTCTTTTTCTAATTGTGGATGTTTTGTATTGTATTAATATTAATAATTGTATTCTACTTTGTTGACTTACACAGTCATTGTAAAACACTCAAACAACATAAAAACATACCACATACAACAGGATGCTTCTCCCTGACCACAGTCCTGGCGTGGTACCGTAGTCCAGAGCTCGGTGTGTGTTCCCGGACGTTACCTAACCTCTTTTGAACGTGTTTGTTGTTCACTTCTGCTTGCAAAGTAAATAAAACAATGCATACGCAGAGCTGTCCATGGGTGCCCTGAAATTGGGCAAACTCTGTCCACGTACACAGCTGGGTGTGAACATACATGGGTTTTTCTGGGGGAAATTCCCAGCAGCCTTGCTCGAGGGGGCGTGTGAATCAGAGAGGATCAAGACCTCCTGCCGTGGGTGGTGGTTCCGACCTACTCCCCACTGGTCTTGCCTCACAGGCTGCCCAGAGGAAGTTGCGCCAGGCCAGCACCAACGTAAAACACTGGAATGTCCAGATGAACCGGCTCATGCATCCAATTGAGCCTGGAGGTGAGAAGGGTTTGACTCTGCAGCTCTCCCTGGAGTTGGGAGGGGGAAGGCAGGGGAAGAGGACACCTCCAGAGCTCCAGGGGCGGCGAGGGCAGGATGGAGCACCTGGAGGTCCTCCTGTCCCTGTGCACTGAGGCAAGACCTCACCCCGCCCCTCCCCGACCTTTCTCCTTGTGTCTTTGCCAGATAAGCGGCCCGTGACCAGCAGCTCCTTCACAGGTTTCCAGCCCTCTCTGCTTGCCCGCCGTGACTCCTCCCTAAAGCGCCTGACCCGCTGGGGATCCCAGGGCCACAGGACTCCTTCCCCCACCAGCAGGGAGCAGCACAAGTCCCTCAATGGGGGCAATGAGGCTTCTGACCCGGCTTCCGCTGCCCAGGAAGACAAAGTGGATCCAACGCCAGAAAACTAGCCTCTCTCAGCCTCTTCTTCCTCCCCACGTCCTGTCCACCAAGATGTGGCCCCAGCCGGCTTGTGGGTGGCACCAGTTCCTGCGAGGAGAGGGAGCTGAGGGCTTGGTGCCAGGGACCCAGACCTTCCAACCAGAAGACAACCCAGGACGGAACCTAGTTCATCTTTTGCACCAGCCCCAAGCCCCAGGCAACTGAGGCCGTCTGAAATAATGATTCTTGGGAATTTGGCCCTGTGCGTTAGCCCCCTGGACCTGCAGACCCAGGCTGAGGAACAGTGAACAAGCAAGCCAGGGGCCATCTGGCCGCAGGACACCGCTAAGTGTGGAGGCACATTTCCAAATAAAAACTGCTCTTGGAATTGAGTTACTGGCTCAGGTCCATTGTCTCTACCACTATTTTCTCCCTTTTCTCTAGAGTCCAGTTATAGGTGCCAAAAGAAGCAGGGTACAGCAAGTGGTTTCGTATGAATACTTGGGGGGACCAGTGCTGTGGCACTGGGGGTGAAGCCTCTGCCTGAGATGCCGGCATCCCATATTGGAGTACCAATTCTGGTCCTGGATGTTTTGCGTTCAATCCATCTCCCTTCTAATGGGCCTAGGGACACAGCAGAAGATGGCCCAAGTGCTTGGGCCCCTGTCACCCACATGGGAGGCCCAGATGGAGTTGCTGGCTCCTGGCTCTGGCCTGGTCCAAACCTGGCTTTTGTGGCCATCTGGGGAGTGAAACAGTGGATGGAAGATCTCTCTCTGTATCTTCCCCACTCTCTCTCTGTCGCTCTGCCTTTCAAATAAATAAACACCTCTTTAAAAAAAAATGAAAATTCTAGGGGTGGGTATTGTGGTGCAATGGGTTAAGCTGCCACTGCATCCGCCCACATTCCATGTCAGAGTGCCTGGGATCGAGTCCTGCCTCTCCTTCCAACCCAACTTCCTGCCAATGTGTGCACTAGGAGGTAGCAGATAAGGCTCAAGTGTTTGGGTTCCTCCACCCATGTGGGAGATGCAGATGCAGTTCCTGGTCCCAGACTGGCCCAGCCTGGGCTATTTGTGAGCATTTGAGGATTGAACCAGCAGATGAAAATCTCTCTGCCTCTCCTTCTATTTCTATTACTCTGCCTTTCAAATAAATAAATAAATAAATAGTTTTTAAGAATGAAGACTCTGAGCTAGACTGTTTAGATTCTGAGCCCAGCTCTGCTGCCCTCTAAATGGCTGAATTTGTTCAAGTTTCTTCACATCGCTGTACTTCACTTTCTACATTAGTAGATGGAGATAATCATAGGACCTACTCTATTGGTTTGATGAAGATTAAATACATAGCACACGAGCAAGCACTAGTATTAGTATCAGCCACAAATACTTTGTTGAACATCTGTTTACCCTATGCCCTATAATTTCCCTGTGCATTTAATTCTCATGACAACTCCAAGAGTCAGATATCACTATTGTCATTTAAAATTTTTTTTTTTACTTATTTATTTGAGAGGTAGAGTTACAGAGAGAGGGAGAGACAGAGAAAAAGATCTTCCATCTGCTGGCTCACTCCCCAGATGGCTGCAACGTCTGGAGTGGAGCTGATCAGGAGCTAGGAGCCAGGAGCTTCTTCTGGGTCTCCCACACAGGTGCAGGGGCTCAAGTACTTGGGCCATCCTCTGCTGCCTTCCCGGGCCATAGGAGAGATCCAGATCAGAAGATGAGAGGCAGGGACTAGAACCAGTGCCCATGCGGGATGCTGGCGCCGCAGGCAGAGGCTCAGCCTGCTGTGCCACGGCACCAGCCCCTGTTATTGGCATTTTCTAGATGGACAAATTGAGGCTCAATTTGCTTTTCTTCTCATATTCTCAGACTCACTGACCTTGTTGCTCAAGATGGAGATCTGGGAATCTAGGAAGTTTCGTGTCCCCTCGCTCACCTTCTTCATCCAAAAGCCATCGTCCGACTCAGGAGCGTCTCTCCCCCTCAGACTCACACCTGTCCCTCTTTTTCCAGTCCCATGGCTACTGCCTTGCCCAAGGCCTTTGTATCTAATGCTTGGGTGTTAACTTTCCACTCCTCTGTCTTGCTGCTTATCTAATCAGTCCTCAAGTCTAACCCTTTTGACTTTGCTGATTATTCTCAAAACCACCACTTTGGGGTCATGTCTATAGGCTGCTGCCTCATTCTGGTCCTGATCACCTCCCAACTAGATAAGAACAGTAACCAGGTCTCAGCCAACCCCCTTCTCAGCCAACTCCTCTCCCAGTTGCCGCATGGTGGTTGATTTCTTTTTTCTTTTTTAAAGATTTATTTGTTTATTTATTTGAAAGTCAGAGTTATACCGAGAGAAGAGAGGCAGAGAGAGAGAGGTCTTCCATCCGCTGGTTCACTCCACAATTGGCTGCAACGGCCGGAGCTGCGCCGATCTGAAGCCAGGAGCTGGGAGCTTCTCCCAGGTCTTCCACACGGGTGCAGAGGGGCCCAAGGGCTTGGCCATCTTCTACTGCTATCCCAGGCCACAGCAGAAAGCTGGACTGGAAGAGGGGCACCTGGGACTAGAACCGGCGCCCATACGGGATGCCGGCACTTCAGACCAGGGCTTTAACCCACTGTGCCACAGCGCCAGCCTCTGGTGGGGATTTCTAAAATGCAGATTTGTCCTTGACCTTTCCCAATTCCCATTCCCTCTCTGGTATCCTAGAGTTTTGTTGTTGGCTTTTTTTTTTTTTTTTTTTTTTAGTTTTTGACAGGCAGAGTGGACAGTGAGAGAGAGAGAGAGAGACAGAGAGAAAGGTCTTCCTTTGCTGTTGGTTCACCCTCCAATGGCCGCCGCGGCCGGTGCGCTGCGGCCGGCGCACCGCGCTGATCCGGTGGCAGGAGCCAGGTACTTCTCCTGGTCTCCCATGGGGTGCAGGCCCAAGCACTTGGGCCATCCTCCACTGCACTCCCTGGCCACAGCAGAGAGCTGGCCTGGAAGAGGGGCAACCGGGACAGAATCCGGCGCCCCGACCGGGACTAGAACCCGGTGTGCCGGCACCGCAAGGTGCCGGCCTGTTGTTGTTTTTAATAAAAGATTTTGTTTACTTGAGTTACAGAGAGGTGGGTGGGGGGTGGGGTCTTCCATCCGCTGGTTCAATCTCCAGATGGCAGCAATGGCTGGAGCTGCCCCAGTGCGAAGCCAGGAACCAGGAGCCTGCTTTGGGTCTCTCCCGTGGGTGCAGGAACCCAAGGACTTGTGCCATAGCTGAGAGCTGGATTGGAAGTGGAGCAGCCGGAACTTGAACCGGCACCCATGTGGGATGCCAGCACTGCAGGGGGCGGCTTTACCCACTATGCCACAGTGCCAGCCCCTATCCTAGAGTCTTGATCATCAGGTTCTCACTCCCATATCTGGCAGATGAGGCCCATGGCGATCGTGCCTAGGAGGCCCTCACGTGCCTCTGCCTTGTAGATCCACTGGCAGCTCCCTCTTCGTTCCTCCTCCTGCTCCCATGCTGCCTGTCCTTCCCATCTTCATGTAACATCATCCATAACTAAACACTTGCATTCCTTGAGGGCAGGGATGTATCTTCTTTTTTTGTTTGTTTATTTATGTATTTGAAAGTCAGAGTTACACAGAGAGAGAGAGGGAGAGGTAGAGAAAGAGAGTGAGAGGGAGAGAGAGAGAGGTCTTCCATCCGTTGGTTTACTCCCCAGTTGTCTGAAGCTGGGCTGATCTGAAGCCAGGAGCCAGGAGCTTCTTCTGGGTCTTCCACGTGAATGCAGGGGCCCAAGCACTTGGGCCATCTTCCACTGCTTTCCCAGGCCATAGCAGAGAGCTGGATTGGAAGTGGAGCAGCCGGGACATGAACCTGCACCCATATGGGATGCCAGCACTGCAGGCAGCGGCTTTACCCACTACACCACAGCACCGGCCCCAGGGATATATCTTCAACTCTGCCCTCAATGTCCAGCACAGTGCTTTGTTCTCGAAATATTTGTTGAATGAAAATGTGAATGAATGAGTTCCGATGTGAAGGGCGAAGTGTCACATAGCTAAAAAGCGATGGAATATTTAACATTCAAACTCAGGCCCATTCATTCGACAAATGTTTATTAAGCTCTTCCCACATGCCAGTAATTGAGCTGGGTGCTGGGTATAAGGCAAAGAACCAAACCAGATGGAGTCCTGCCCTCCTGGAGCTTAGGTGCCATCTGACACCAAAGTTCACATCCTGGGGCTGGCACTGTGGTGTAGTAGGCTAAGCCTCCACCTGCAGTGCCTGCATCCCATGTGAGTGTCTGTTCTAGTCCCAGGCGCTCCTCTTCTGATCCAGCTGTCTGCTATGGCCTGGGAAAACAGTAGAAAATGGACCAAATGCTTGAATCCTGCAACTGCTTGGGAGACCAGGAAGAAGCTCCTGGCTCCTGGCTTTGGATCGGCACAACTCCAGCCATTGCAGCCAGCTGGGGAGTGAACCAGTGGATAGAAGACCTCTCTCTCTCTCTCTCTCTCTCTCTCTCTGCCTCTCCTCTCTCTGTGTAACTCTGACTTTCAAATAAAAAAAAAAATCTCTTAAAAAAATAGAAAAATCAGCCGGCACCACGGCTCAATAGGCTAATCCTCTGCCTGTGGCGCCAGCACCCCGGGTTCTAGTCCCGGTTGGGGCGCCAGATTCTGTCCCGGTTGCTCCCGGTTGCTGTGGCTGGGAGTGCAGTGGAGGAAGGCCCAAGCCCTTGGGCCCTGCATCCACATGGGAGACCAGGAGAAGCACCTGGCTTCTGGCTTTGGATCAGTGCGGTGCGCCGGCCGCAGAGACCATTGGGGGGTGAACCAACGGAAAAGGAAGACCTTTCTCTCTGTCTCTCTGTCTCTCACTGTCCACTCTGCCTGTCAAAAAAAAAAAAAAATACAAAAATCCATTTAAAAAAACCAGCACTCTGATATGGGATGCTATGACTTTCAGGCATACAAATATGCGAGAAAAGATTAGATTGAGAGGAAAGTGGAGTGGAGATATGAGTACCAGGAAGGAAACAAACGATATAAAATCTGTGATGGCTAAAGAAGCTTATTCATGAGCTTTTATTTTTTCTAAGCCTTCTCTAAAAAGAAATTTATTAGAGAGACAGAGAGCTCCTGCCTTCAGGTTCACCCCCCAAATGCTCACAGTGCCTGGGGCTGAGCTGGTGCTGAATGCAATGCAATCCAGGTCCTCCACACGGGTGGCAGGGACCCGATTACTCGAGCCATCACTGCTGCCTTCTAGGGTCTCCATTAGCATGAAGCTGGAGTCAGACTCTGCAGCCAAGAATCAAAACCAGGTACCCTGTTATGTGAGGTGGACATGTTAACTTCTGGGCTAAACTTCTGCTCCCCTGTTCGTGTATCTTTAAAATGGATGATG